ACATTAACACTGCACTGAGAGAGAGGGGTTTATACAGTGAATATGTGGTTCATGTGGAAAATGATGATGTTTTTTTCCCGTTGAAGAGGTAGACGGGAGAGACTGAGTGGGATGTTTGTCTAATTTTACCAAGCACTATAACAAAACGATTGTCGTTTTCTGGAATTTTATTTGAAGGTATTTATTAAAACTAACACAAAATACCTTGCTTTTGTATTTCGTTTTTTATTTTTAATATCGGAGAAAGCCTTTTCAAAGAAAAGTCGTCTTCGACATTCTCAGTTGGGAGCGAGAAGGGCGTGTCGTACTTGTCTGCTATCCGTGTAGTTTCTAGTCTTTACCGATACGCTCCTGTCGGACCAGGCGGTGAAGCCGCAGGCAGCAGTAGTGACGGCCACTGTCACAGCGCCCGCCCGCCCGCACGAGAGAGCTCGGCGCGCGCAGGACTGAGCATCGCCGTCACGCCCGACACCTGACGGCGCTCCCCGCGCGGCACGGCCCCCCGCGGGCACAGACAGCGAGCAGTGTGCGGGTCATCGCTGTCTACTGGACCTGACCCTGAGCGGGCACGGACCTGTCCACTGGACCTGACCCGGACTGGACACGGCCCTGTCCACTGGACCTGACCCAGAGCGGGCACGGACCTGTCCACTGGATCAGACCCGGACTGGACACAGAACTGTCCACTGGATCAGTCCCTGGGCGGACACGGACCTCTAAACTGGACCAGTCCCTGGGAGGACACGGAGCTCTAAACTGGACCAAACCAGGACTGGAAACGACCCTGTCTACTGGACCTGACCCTCAGCGGACACGGACCTCTAAACTGGACCAGATTCTCAGCGGACACGGAGCTCTAAACTGGACCTGACCTGGACTGGACACGGCCCTGTCCACTGGACCAGCCCCTGCTCGGACACGGCCCTGTCCACTGGACCAGCCCCTGCGCGGACACAGCCCTGTCCTCTGGACCAGCCCCCGGCGGTTGGTGTGAGCATGTTATATCATTAACGCTCAGTGGCGGCGGCAGTCGCGCTGTGGACGTGCTCCTCTCGGGCGGTGCAGGAAAGCGGATGTGCTCGGCGGTGTGAATGACGCTCTCCAGGGGCAGAGCTGCGGGCTGCAGACCGGGCGGGAGGCGCGTGTTCGCGCAGTGAATCCCCCGCCCCTCGAGTACCTGCGCTCGCGTGTGCATCTCACTGAACGCGTGCTCTCGGGAACCTCGCGCCCCGCGCAGGTGCAGGCGGCAGGGATGGACAGCCGCTCGCGCCGCCGCGGGACCTCTGAGAAGGGAGAGGCGGCCGGGTCACGGATTGGCCGCGGACACTCGTGTGGAGTCGTGCTCTTCTGCTGCGTGTCACTGTCTGGTGAGTGTGCAGACCGGCGATGTTGCTGTTAGTAGTAATACTGCTAAACTCACTGGGATAAAAACACGCGGGGTCGTGGTAACAGCACTGTTAGATAAAGGAGTCCGTTACTACTGACTGATGAAGCTCCTGCTGTTATTATTATCATTATTATTATTGTTGTTATTATTAGTAGTAATACTATAAGCAGCAGTAGTGGTACCAGCAGCAGTATCAGTAGCAGTAGTGATACTAGCAGCA